ACTTTTTGCTTTGGGCATTTTTTGTCAATTTCCTACACAAAATGTGGCAAGCGTGTGCTAAAATAACGAAGAAAAACAATCAACAGCCGAGCGTGACGCTACCTTAGTGAAATCTGTAAGCAGACTGAATCGAAATACGCTGCATTGCTTCTGTATACGTATACGAACCAAGGTGGAGAGAATACAGAAGGTGGCGCCGAACGCAACACCGCTAATCGACTCAGTGAATTTGACAGAATCAGCTGTTTTGCTGACGTTACAGTCGAGATGACAGCAGTAGTGATGTGCTGAGTCAATACTTTTAAGTATTGTTCGATATTCGGTACCGATTTAAAAAGTATCCAATACTATCGATACTCGGTACCGAAATATTTAGATTTCGAATAAAAGCGCACACAGGCCAAGGATATGGAAAAAAAAACGGCTCAGGGGAGACTCCCCTATCAAAACCCGAATGTAGGAGCCAATAGAGCTTTTAATACTGATTCAAATGAAAGATGCATATATGTCGGTTCGAGGCCATAACGCAGAGAAACGCTTACTTGTTTGAAGCATTTTTGTTCCAGCTGAATCGGACGATATCATTTTTGGAGGCCTGGGGCAGATTCTATAACCAGTTAGCGACAATTTTCGAATCGGTATCGGTTTTGTTGACATATGATATGAAGGCTGCGTTTCTTTATACATTCCGGATAATCCCATTTCACAGCCGGAATAAACAGAATGCGTTTGAAATATACGTCAACATATCATCAGGAACGTTCTAAAGAATAAATAAACAAAAAAGTTTATTCCAAACGTTCACAATGAATAAAGAAATGCAGCCGAAATATTTTTACGCCAACAAGTGCGATATCGATCCGAAACATGTCGCTACTGGTTAGATCCCCCCTGAAAAGCTTCTTCATCCGTCAAAGCATTTTTCTTGAACCTTGGATCGACTAAGGTTAAAACTGATAAAATAATATTTCTCTGTTGCGATAAGTTCAAGTGTTTTAGCGATATCATATAAATTAGTAATGAAAGTTTTTTCTAAACCTGAAATGCATGTAATGGCGAAGGTTTAATGTAAAGAATCGGTATCGCATACCGCAAAAGGAAGTATTGGGTTTTTTAGTAATTGGGTACCGAGTATTGGGGACAGTTCAGCACATCACTAGTCGTCCTTATTCTCGCCGCTCTTAGTTATCAACTCTACGATAACGTCACGCCAAACTTACTCTCACGAATTCTGCTGCAATCGGCGCAATCTTGTATTCCATCATTCTTGTATACGAACTGCGACGCTAGCGTTGCTCGCGAGCAAAAATTGCCCAGCTCTGAGGGCTCTGTCACACGGTCAGTAATTATCACGATATTTGGATCGCGATCCATATTGATGGATTGATGGATCGCGCACGAATGCTACATGTTCAATATTCACCGCGTCAGTATGTGCATAATTTTTGTGCTGAAAGCTTATTATGACGCAAGAAAATATTTTTATTTTGTACGTATAATTTACAGATAATGCATTCCACAATTATTTTAAAATTTCCAATCTTAATTAAAATTTGTTTTGAATAATTTTAGCCCCGAGAGCGAAGGCAGAGCCGATGTTCGCATTATGAGAGTAAAAGATGTACTGACGAAATGTATGGATCGCGTTTTGAAAGTGCTACACATTCAATATTTATTGACGGTATTGCGATCCGCGTTCCATATTTCAAAATTTTTAGAAATTTTGCGATATGGATCACGATCCATCAATACTGCATGCTACACCGTCAATAAATATTGCGATACTTGGAGCACGTCAATAAATACTGACCGTGTGACAGAGCCCTGATATAAACATACATACATACATACCCCAAGAATGATAGAGTACAAGATTGCGCCAATTGAGCTGAGAGCAACTGGGTGTGACGTCACATTATTTTGAGAATAAGAGTGTAAAGAATAATTTTGAAGAAGAGGAAGAAGCGAACAAGTGGTGCGAAATAATGATGTAAAACTAGGTTGAATTGTACCTACTCTTTAGCTTCTTAAATTTGAACGTGCATTCGGTACAAGCACATTATTTTAGGTACATTTGGAACGTAGTAAAATGTTATTTCATGTAAGTAGAAAAGTTGTTATGGTACAAAGGAAGATGTAGTCCACCAACTACCAAAAATGTATGCACATAAAAATACATGTTTACTGTTTAGGTACGTATATCTACTTTTAGGTACAACTTTTCGGCAAATTGATACAATATAAAAATTTTATATTCATCACTAGTGCGAAAAAATAATAATGTGACGTCAGCGAAAGGGTGGATGCTGTCAAATCGAGAAAGAGAGGACTAGCGGTCCGCGGAAGGCGCCACCTTTGTTTCACTACATGGTGTATATACCCCTATGTACATACATACGTATACACGTAGCTGGCATGGCAAGGGCGTACAAATTTCGCAAACACCAACTTAAAGCTTAAGCAGACAGCAGACGTTGGTCGGGATTAACTTGGACTTGATCCGGATTAACTGCAGTAAATTTCC